AAAAAAAAAAAAAAAAAAAACGCGATGCTTTCATTCATGTGTAAAATTTAAGATTACAAAATGCATGTGATAAAAAAATGAGACTGGTACAATGTACTTTATAGTTATTCATATATAATGCAATTCAGATTATGTATGTTTTTACTCAAGTACGCTGACAGCATCACGCAAAATGTGTGAACTTTAGTGTAAGTACATATACCCTAAATGACAGAATGTTTGATACACCGTGATCAAAATCTTTGATAAATCTCACCTTGAAATAAGGACACATCACAGTGCATTCAAATATAATTAGAGCATGGATTTTTCAAGCACAATGTCAAAATATGAATTAATTGTTTCATCTTATATGATGCAGAAATGCAATGCAACAAACGAGACTTTGCTCATTGAAAGGGGGTATAAGAATAAACATCGTAAATCACCCATAATAACCCTTTATAAAATAAAAATATGTAGTAAAATACTTAAACACTCTCTCAACTAGAAAGAAAGGAATGAATCTGTTATTGCACAATTAATTACAAGTGTCACAAAAATGAAAAGTAATACGTAGAAGTAAATTTTACATATCAGTGGCGAATTAAGGGGGGGGGTGTCAGAATGGTATTGACCCCCTTCTATTCTGAAAAGGAATCACACCGATGGTCCCCTGTTGAAATTATAATTTTGAATAATAATATATATAATTTTAGCTGAACCATAGTTCTAAACTGTACAGAATGGCACCGTTCGCCGTCTAGCGGGCCCAAAACCCCACGCCAGGGCAGGAGGAAGGGGGGTCGGCTTTGCATCCGCGGCCTTTCATTCCAAAAAATGGGTCCCCTTCAAATAATCCTGGATCCGCCACGGCCTCCGTATACACAAATAATCGAAATTGTGAAATGAAGAGTGACTAGAGACCTGAGAAAGAGATGGACCAAAGATTTTCCTTAATTTTTTTCTGGGAGATTTTTCATAATCTTCAGGTGGATCATTTTCTGAAAAACAAACCAATACAGCACTTTTAACATGCACAATAAAAGTTTAACTGGTATAATTTTTTTTAATTATCTTACCTGAGAAATCATTCACATGTTTTGGTGGTTAGGAATATTTTCTCATTCATCAATGATATTTACAGCTCCATTTTCATGGAATAAATAACTATCCTACTGTTTAGTTGTAGGCCAGTGGGAATCAATATGTCTTCTCCTTCAGGTCTATCAATTTGAGACATTCATTTAGTTTCAAAGGATCATGTCTAAGATCAATGGTACAAATACATCGCTTGCCATCTGTGGTAGAAATAGCACTAGACATTTCATCTCCTTGGCGCGGCACAAAATTTCATCTAAAATAAAATAAAAACAAAAAAAATCTTTTAAAAAATGAGCACTCAAAATGGAGTGTAATATTATTCCGAGTCAAGAAAGTTGGAAAGTTAGATAAATTAAAAGATTGAAACTTAATTACTTCACCTAAAGTTTGGATACTATGGTCAATCTACAAAAACATATTTTGCAAACCCCGTCAGTGTGCATGTAGCCTTCAAAAGCTGCACTCCCAGAAATATTTACGTCACTCTAATGCATAGAGCACGGTGAAAATAGCCAGAATACTGACCAGCTATAAAAGCATATGACAGTTTAGCGTTTCTAAAATAAGGACTAGATATCAGATTTTACTTACAATTAACTTTCCGCATTTTCATCCGTCCTCTCTCTTCAGTAACGTTTGCAATCTTGTAACGATTACATACGCTGCGAATGATTTAGGGTAGACTAGTGATTGCAATAAATATGAGATCCAACTATAAAGCCGTCTGGGTTTATAAGATACTTTAAACAGGAAAAAAAACAAGTCGTCTGTTTTCTTTATGTCAAACCCGAGCATACTTACACCACCTCAATACTAGTATAAAGGATATCAGGTCATGGGTCACTTAACATCTACCACACAATTGTACCTGAATTCGTTTTATGGGAAGGAGTAACGATATGGCACGGATCCAAGGGGAAATTACATCTGATGTACCCCTACCCCTCTCTCCTCACTCCCTGTGTTGCTGCTCACCCCCCCCCCCCCCCCACCACCACACACACTCACACACACACAGGGGCGGATTGAGGCAGTCTTCTGGGTCTTCCGGAAAACGGTCAGATTTTCAAGTTTACATGATGGGTATCTATTTTTTTCTGTTGGAAGACGGTCAAAAAATGAAGGATGGATCAACAAAGACAATTTGGAAGACTGTCAGAAAATGTCTCTGGATCCGCCCCTGTCACACATTATTAACACATTCCTGGAAATACCAGTGTACACGCTTAAAGAGGAACATATAGGTACGTGAAAATGCACTGTACGGAAATTTTGAAATCTAGTCATTACCGTCCTTTCCAACTGTTTGTCTTAGGAAATATATCCACGTAGGTCTAGCACTGACTGTGGCTGCATTCTTCACGAAAGCCTCTTGGATCAGCTCATAAGTCCCCAGCATTATCACATGCTGCTCACCAAATTTGACGTGCATGATATCTCCGTATGTATCATACCATGGAAGAAGATCTGTCGGTTGTCTTCTCCTTCCGCTGATTATCAGCTGTGGGAGACATCCCACCACGGGGAAACAGAGAGGCCCGGGCGGCCATTTCACCCGCGGATTCCTCGACGACAGAATCCACAGACTTAACAACAACCCTGCCACAAATATCAAAACAGTCGGCAGACCGACAGTAGAAAAATACTCGAAGAGACCGTACGCGACCTTGGGCATTTTGGCTCCCTGGATGAGGCTGCCAAGCTTATGATGACCTAAACCCGACAGTTAAATTCCTTTGTCAGTGAAATGTAAGAACTAAAATGAAACGCTGAAGTCGTTTCAAGGTCAATCCCTGCAACATGCAACCCTAGAGTTCGTGTGAACAATTGCTTAACAAACCTCACTGCCGGCGAACTGAAAGTGTACCGCAGCAAAACTATTTGTGTGCATAGGGTTAGGGTAGCCTACTTTCTTTTGTGAAAATGCATTTATGGTGCAAATTGGGGGCATTTAGCAATACCTCCTTAAACGCCATTCCATCTTCTTATCATTGTAGTATTAAGCCAGGGAGACAGGTTTGCTGTGCCTAGTTTGCCTTCAAAGAGAAGGAGACTTTTTCCCAAATGTATTTTACTGAAAATCCCATGGGACATATGTGGCTTTGTTGAAATGAATAGTAGGAATAAAATCCCAAAGCCTTCAGCTCTAGACCAGGATCATAAATATCAGTCCCCATGAGGTCAGAAAACTGGGTCGATCTATTGAAATTAACCTGTAAACATTGTAGAGCCGCATATTGCAACCGAACGCATTTTGCAACTGCAACGCATTTTACATCTAAAGAAAATCATGCAAAACTTATTTTGCAACCAGGATTTTTTTTTTTCTAAGTCGCTTAATTGGTTTGTAGTGCTAAATAGGTAGAATTGGAATGGAGACGAGGTTGCCTCGGCTAGGTACGCTGAATTTGGTCAGGCTGCCCCCGGGGTGGACGATTATGTACATGTATATTATAATCTTTTTCAAGTTGTTATTTCCTAGAGTGTCAAAGTAATAGATGCGTCGGGGATTAATAAACCTATCATGAGGGATTTGAGTGACTTTTGGGAATTTTATTGTGAATTGGGGTGTGGTCGCCCCTAGGGTTGGTCGATTTTATTTTTGTTTTACATAGTAAAGCCTATAAGAGTTAGGAAAATGCAACCGACTAATCATTTGGGATGTGGAAAGGCACTTCAGATTTTTTTTTTTACTTTGGGGATGGTCGTCCCTGGGGGTCTTCTTGTGATGGGTCACAAATAGGCGAAGTAAGAAATGATTATCTTTGGAGATGATACATTAATTAATCAATCAACCGTGTACAGATTTTGATGAAATTTTCAGTGTGGGTCACAAATGGACCAAGGAAGTAGGGACAAGATTTTGGTGATGATCCATTGATTAATTAATTAATAAATTATGTACATATTTTTCAAACGTTCAAATAGGTCTCAATAGGGCCAAATAAAAATAGTTGGATTTTGGTGATAAATAATTAACCAAGTAATGGTTAATTATAAGGTTATTAATTATGAGGTTATCCTCTCTGAGTGCTTTTCTAGTTTAAATGAGACCCAAAAGACAAACTACTTTAAAACATTAAGAAATTATGTACATGTATTTTCAAGATGTTACAATGGTTGTCCAATTTTACAGCAGATAAAATCACTTTTAAAATGGAAAGTGCCAAGAAAGAAATCTTTGAGAATGTCAAGATTCTAAATAATGTAATTTTAATTTCAGGTCATTTTCTAGCTTTAAATTATTAACTTTGAGTTAAGTAAAAGATGCTGGATATATTGGTCACAAATGTTCATTTTAACAGTGTTGCATTTTACACACCATTCCACTACCCTCTGAATATGTCTAAATGAGCTTTTATTAAAACAACTTCCAACTCGACCAAACACTTGTTTTATTCAACCTAAAACTAACAAATATAAATAAGCAAACAAACAAGAATAAACAAATATTGAATGAATAATAAGAAACTAAATACCCAACGATTTAATGTAAATCACAGTCCTAAGCATTGTCTCAACTGCCTTGCCTTTAAGTTCTGCCTTAAATTAACATTTACTGATACATGTATCTCAAAAATACATTTTCGTCCATCAAGAGGTAATGTAACGAAAATCTGTCCGGGATTAAAAGAAGTAACATACATGTAAAGTGCAAAAGATACAGGTAAGTCATACGTCAAACTTGGATTTTCAGATGTATGTATACAGGTACGAATACAGATACCGGGCTCTGTTGTACCCGTATCCCGAACATCATATGGACGTATGAATATGGACGCAGTTAGCACAAGCATTCATTTTGGACCTGATATATATATATATATATGTAGGTTTATGTACCTTGCATGTGTTGTTTCAGTGTTACTTATGAAATTGTGTTGGTAATTGAACATTTCTAAATTCAAAAATTAAGTCTAAAACAAAGCCCATCATGTTGTTTTTCTTTATTTTGCACAGACAACTTCGTTTCTTAAATAAATATTTGAAAGGGTTAACAACGGTTTGTATGAGATTCACATTTAAGAATAAATAGTGTAAAGAACCCATAGGAATACAATATATATTCCATTTTACCACCAAAATTGTAGTTTTCACAATTATTTTGGAAACTGTTCTTGTCATCCAATGACATGATTGCTATATACTCTGGAATAATATTTTAAAATATTAAAACAAATTAAAAAATTACAGTACAGACTAATTTTGAATGTCAAAACTGATTCAGTACCCCAGTATAACTATTGGTAAGAAGGGGGAAATTGTCATTTACTCCAGGAGAATCCATTTTGGGCTGATATGAACAGTTACTCTTTTATATTCAATAATTTTATTATCAAAACAATAGTACAAGTATACATGCACAGGAAGTCCATATGCATGGGCGCTAGTAAGAATACACAAAGTATTTAGTTATACAAAGTGTGAAAAAATGTAAACAAATACATAAATAAAAACAAAAAAAAAAATAAAAAATAAATTCCAAAATTAATATAAAATTTTCACTTTCATTGCAGTAGGTTGAACTTAAAGACTTTCCTTTTTTTTTTGCTGAAGAAATTTTCATACATGTTCTGTCTTCAAATGCATTATCTCAAAATACATTAGTTATCCTTTTAAGACTTAAAATAAGAGAAAAATATGCTGATGTGATCACCAATGACAATTTATGTCTTTATTCAAAACAGTTCCATATGCTTGTATTTGATATCTGATATTTTAAAAAATATGGGAATATGTAACTTGCTTCCTAAAAGGGCTCTACCTGTATTTGTGAACACCATGGAGGAACCATTTACTGGATATAAATGGATGTGGACTGTAAATATATTCAAAATGCCTCTTTTACTACTCTGACATTTTTTTTTAAATTCTTGTTTGAATGTGAAAAGCAGCCTGGCTCCTGGGAGTCCAATTAGAAAAAATGTGTCCATAATAACACTTCTTTGCAACACTGCCATCCAATTATCTTAAAGAAATACCACCAAAGTCATATTTCTTTTTAAAAAATCAATATTTATGTTTCAAAAAATTTAAGTGCTGCCAAAGAATACTTTGATAACCAATTTTCACTAAGGGCTTGGTGACAGTTTTTTTAATATAACTAATAGGAATGCATGATAATGATGCAGCATATCATCGTGGTCACTTTTCAGGGCACTTCAAAGCCTGGCAGATATTCTGTAATATCTGAAAAGACTGTTCTTCTTTTATCTGGAAAAGAAAATCAGAACCAATTCAGAATTTACAATTCCATGCAACTAAATGTAAAAACAATCTGTTTACACCCATTTTCAATATATAAGTCCATTTAACATTAAAAAAATTGACTAACAATGAGCGAGGGACAAGATATGTCCAAGTGGTACTTAACTAACACAATTCTAGGAACTCACATAAAAAAAAATAATTACTGGCTTTATCTTTTTTCACATAGAAAACATAAATGGATTATATTTTAAACCTTTATTACTATTGATCTTAGAATCATAAAACATTCTCCAATAGATCTACTACATTTTAACTAAAGTAAAAATCTACAACTTCAACAGTAAGAGAGTATGGTGTATAAATGTCTCAACTTTCATTTTCATACCTGTACAAGTAAGTCATGGATTTTAACATTTTCAATGATTTATAAAATAAACCCTACACTTTCAAATGGGCCTTTATACTGAAAATGAGTGTTAACTGATCACGAAAAAAATCATATTACATAAATACTTCTACCATTCTATATCCAAACATCTTTTTCCTTACATCAATGTTAGAAAGTTTTAAAATTTTATCAGCCTGAAAAAAGGACAAGGGAAATGTTAAATCTTGCCAAATACTCTCCTGACCTATAGCTAATTATTATACAAATAAAAGGTGATGTATTCATAATTCAATCAATATACAACTGTCAAGCACATTATCTATGCTTCACATGACAGGTGCTCGCAATGCTACGTTATACAGCTACGGTACGTACTAATTAAGGCACTTGTCGTAATGTAATATTAGTATTCTAAATAACACTAGACCAAAAGCTAATCTTAAAACTGAACTGTAGTCGGAGTTAGATTACTCTGAATGAGCCTGCGTCGGTCACACGGTGCACATTTTAACAACAAATCTACAAGATACAATGTATAACAAATGTGTTTGATTATGTACAGTCCGTAGTGGAGCGAAACTAGCACATTTCTCGTAATAAAAAGCATTTATATATATTTTACAATCTAAGTAAGTTGCATACGTACCTGATAATGAGTCTCTGACATGCTATAAATGTGTGGGTTCCATATTTCAGCAAGGATAAAAATCATAACTTGCCGCACAACCTACTTCACCTGTTCCTGCCTCGTGGTAAGTTGCGGGGTTTCGTTGGAAAGCACCTCAATTCACCTCTCGTTTAGTGGGCGGGATTTCGGTAAATTTACTAAATTTGTATTAAGTTTTTGGTCTTTGATAAAAGAAATGTTTATTCTGTTTCTTAAATTTATATTTGACTTAATATGGTGCATTTTAGCACCCAAATCTGCGCGTCACATGATTTGTATCACATGACTTTTTCGAACTTCCACAGTTCAAGGTCAAAAAATGCTGTCGTAGCAAGTTAATGGAACATCATTGCTTTGCGTGAAAATTGAGGTTAGTCACTAACTTTTTTGGATGAATAAACATAATTTCAAGTTCGGGAAATGAATGAGATGTGCACTCTTATCGGAGGTGCCTCAGGGGAGAAATTTTGCTCTGTTTTTTCACAAGTTTTTGGATTTTCTGTCGAGACTTCTTAACCAGAGAGTGTGCGGGAAATTCCCTTCAAAATCGAAAACCTGGATATATTTTCGACCATTTTATTAATTTTCAGCCAATTTCGTATTTGGAAACAATTTCCTTGCAATATAGTCCCTCGCTTTACAAAAGCATTTTCGGACACGTAAAATTTTCAGTTTTCTGGATTCGGAGAGAAATAACTGTAATTTTGTACAGTGCTTTGACGAAAGCTTACAGTTTTTCAAAAGACGGAAAACTCCTCGTTTAGTCTCTAAAATATGGAAAGTCATTTCACTGTAGTTATTTCGCACAGTTTATTTATTTCAGACGTACGCATTTTTCATCGCGCCGCTTTTTTGGCGCTATTTCGTGACGCGGACGTACCAAAAAATCCATGACGTTTCAAATCACACCTAACTCTGACAGTATGTGTCCTACTGATCAGTATTTTAATTTTTTTCGACGCATTCATTTATATTTTCATGAAATAATGAAATAAAATCTAAGCCCATGTTTTAAATCGCTTTTTATCGTGGTCACACACTTGCATCTACTAAACAAAAAAAAAAAAAAAAACGTAACTAGAAAAGCACTCCGAGAGCGCAGACCTCCGTCAAGACAGCAAAGTCTCCACCCAATGCTGTTTCACCTCTACATTCTCATTGATTGATTATTGATTATTGATCGATTATTGACCCGGATCACCACCAAAAACTAATCCTCTGTTCCTTGACCAACTTCTGACAGTTCCTGAAAATTTCATCAAAATCGGTCCATAACTTTTTGTTTTGTTGATGACAGACAAACAAACAAACAGGGGTGAAAACATAACCTCCTTGGCGGAGGTAATGAAAATATACAGACTGTAACTCATGCCACAGAACTCTGTCATAAATTGTCCACAATTGGAGGTGATCATTTACTAACAAAAACACATGGACTTAGAGGTGGGACAACCTTTCTGACAAAGTCTGTCTATTAAACTAGGAATCGATGGTATTTATTATAGGCAAATCACAGCCACACAATTTACTACAATGTACATTTAATTTACTCTTACTAAAAACACAACATCCAAGCAACTACACAAAGTTTATTAAAAGCGATTTCTGACAAACGTTTTTGCCAAGAAGAAATGCACAAAAATCATTTCGAGAATAAACGAATTATTTTAGTTTAGGTACCGTCAGTCACAAGTCAGTCTTACATAATCTAACGTATTTATGCAGATACAGTTGTACATGTCCATAGTAAGAGGCAGTTATTTATTCCAGTCTAGCGTCTAACAGCGCACACGTTGTAGGGGTATGGCGTAAAAGTGAGCGCGTTGAGGCCTTCCACTCCATCTGGAGGTTTCTCGCCCTCTGGTACCTTGAAGGTAAAACTCTGAAGCAACGTGGTGAAGAAAATGAACGCTTCCATTTCAGCAAGCCCCTTGCCCAGGCAAACACGGGGTCCTGAAATACATAAATAATTAAATATTGTATAAAATAAAATAATTAATTTAATTACAATGATGTTTAGTTCTTAAGTGTTAATTTTCTTGGTTATAGGTTGTGCTTGGTGTCCTCCATTAAATTCCAACTACGGACCTACTACAATAAGTTATTTGACAGAAGATAGCAGTCTGGAAGCCATGGTGTTCGTTATAGAGACGGTTGAGGTATGATGTAGACATACACAATATGTAAAAGACAGTCATACATTGTATTTCAACAACATGATGTATAAGCGCAATTTTTATTATTATCATATTATTATTAATGAACTTTATAAATTCTAATGGATTAAAGAATAGACCCAATTTTCTGCAGCATACCCATAACTGAACTTCGTATGAAAAATAGCGCACATGTACCTATAGAAAACGGTATCATTTTGTCCGACTTGACCACTTTACCATCATCATCCAGCCATCTTTCTGGTTTGAACTTGTAAGGATCCTCGAAGTTATTCTTATCGTGGAGAACCCGGTACAAATCTCCCAGTATTACCGTTCCCTTGGGAATGGTGTATCCTGCCAAGTTGGTTGTTTCACTGGTGGCATGGGGCCCACCCACCGGAACTGTTGACATGGATGAAAACAGCTATCGTATATCAACCTGTCATAATTGACAGATGGGGTAGTGGGGGGGGGGGAGCGAGAGAGGGATTTATATTAATTATATCAATTTCCATTGTCCTGAGCATTCTAAAAACGACTAAGCCTGCTTTCTAGTTAAGCTAAAACAGACCTTAAAAGTATTTAGCGTCCTGTACATAAAGTATCTGCATACATGTACTAAAGTACGTATATCATGTCACGTATTGACTGGAAAACCACTATCAAAAACGTGACAGGAAATAGCACAAACTCGCGTCCTCTTTTCTTGAATTTCCATTTTAAATCATATATATATATATATATATATATATATATATATATATATATATATATATATATATATATATGGCTGCTGTTATTTAAAATGAATCATTTGTTGGTAGTTATTTCCGAACTGGTAAGGTTATATAATACGATTTTTAACTAAAATTATAAGCTTAAAATTTACTGACCAACGGTGGACAAACGAAAGACTTCCAGTATGGTTGCTTCCGTGAATGGCATCCTGGCCTTGTCCTCCATCTTGGCAACACGACCTTGACCTATGATCTTAAGTTAAACGCATTAAATCTTATTGATCACTAAATAATTTTTTTATATAAAAAAACACGTTCATTTTGGAACACGTTATTTTTACAAGCAAAAAAACGTTGCAGCATAATCAAAATACATGTAAAAAGCCAACTTTTAAACTAGTAATATACCAGTCTCACGTGCTCTGTTTTATGACGTTACCTGATCAATTTCCTGTTGCACCCTTTTCTGAGCATCCGGATGATTTACCATATGAACCAGGGACCATCTCAAAGTATTAGCTGTTGTGTCGGTGCCAGCCAAATAGAGATCAACGATGATGCGGAACACGTTCCATTCTGAAATTTAAGCCCATTGCATGCCTGAAAGTGTTTAATATTCATTTAACAGCTACCTCGGTGAAACCACATACTGGCTGTTTGCACGTTTGTACATGTACCGGTATATCGACAGCCCATCAATGATCAGTACAAGTTTACACGATATATAGATTAGTTAGCATTAATTACTTGCTGGGTTAAATTTTTCAAACACAAATAATAATCTCCTAATCACATTTCATCAAACAAAGTTAGATTTTTACGTGAACAGGTCCTTTAAGAGTAATATACATATAGGCCTACTGTACCTGTGTAGACCTCGGGATCTTCCTCCTCTCGTGTGACCTTTATGAAGAGGTCAATGAAGTCCCGGATGTCAGTTGGATCAAAGGACTGGCGGTGTCGGTCCACTTCCTGTCTTATCAAACTATACAGCCTGTCCACAAGGGACAGCATCTTCTTCATCTGAAAAAAGTTATTAAAACGTATACTTTATGGCATACTACCGGGAATAGGCACACGTGCATCTGACACTTTTTATCTGCATATTGCTCAAATTGCGAATGGAATAATTTGATCCTTTAGTAAGTGCTAGTAAACTGATAATTATAAAATATAACACGATGAACAAATAGAAAATATTTGGAAATAAATACTATGAAAAAGCCGTTGGAGAATGTACAAATGTAGGCAGGCTAAAAAAAAAAGTAACGGATGACAGAATAATGGTAATAAAATTTAAAATAAATTACCGGCACGATGAACCGTGCCAAGTTGGTAAGGGAGAGTGGCCCTTCGCCAAGTCGCACTGCCTCCTCTAAAACTGGCAGCATTTCTGGGGTGTCATTATAGTCATATCTGAAAGTCATTTGAAAATAAAATAAAAATGCTACATTTTTACTAAAATGCTTAATGATGCTAAATAAGATATCCGTACGCGGTATTTTGGAAAAATCAATTTCATGAATACGATAGCTAACAGCGAACAAATGTAAATTCGTCGCATTTTTTCGAGTAGCCCCTTAATTCCCATCAATTAATTTTATGGCATGTACAAAAAAGTTACGGGTACAGTGGTCTATAATTACCTTGTTCCAAATACAACGATAGAAATAATATTGCTGACAGCTTTTCCAATCCTGTCTCTGGGAGAGAAAGCCTTTCCATTTTCATTTTCAATGTTTTGCACCAAGTATCTTGCCTCATCCTGAATGCTTTTTGTAAACTTTTTCTTCCGAGGCCGAGATCTCGAAGAGACGAGAGCGTGAATCTCCTCAGTTCCTTCCATGCGTGCCCGGATTTAAATAAAACTCCAGCTCCTGCAGTTTAATCATTGTGTTAAAAGACGAATAGTTATATACCTCCTATAGAAAGTTTCTAAATATCTTTACTTCCAAATACATGTACAAATGTCTTTACTACATGTATGTACGTTTTTTCTTTAAAGACCCGCCTAAAATACCATAACTGTGCCTTTTCCCCTGCCTTCAACTTATCCCAGCGCTACAGCCTACAGGGGTTACTTCTAATGCTTTCTACATGTACTCAGTAACAGTAATGGCGTACACAAAGATACTAAAAGGCCCAGAGAGAGAGAGAGAGAGAGAGAGAGGGAGAGAGAGAGAGAGAT